GCTGTTCCAAGGCCCGACAGAAATGTACTGTCAAAACTTTGTTCAAACAAAAGTCCTGGCCCGCGGCCCCCACACCCACAATGACTATCAATCCAGGCTGCGGGTGAAGGGCAAAACCGCGCCGCTGCAGAACGGTTTTTGCAAAACCGCGCCGCAGCGGTACGAAACTGCGCAGATGCAGTCCAGGGGTGGTAAGGACACTATGTGTGTGTGTGTGGCCGTAGACTAGACGGCTGCGCGGTCGTCGGTCTTCAACACTCGCGCTCCGCGCCCGGCCGGATGGTGCCCACCTCGATGATGTCGAGGAGGTACTTGTGTTGCTTCGCCGCGGTCCGCAGGTCAGGGACTGCATCTGCGCAGTTTCGTACCGCTGCGGCGCGGTTTTGCAAAAACCGTTCTGCAGCGGCGCGGTTTTGCCCTTCACCCGCAGCCTGGATTGATAGTCATTGTGGGTGTGGGGGCCGCGGGCCAGGACTTTTGTTTGAACAAAGTTTTGACAGTACATTTCTGTCAGACCTTCTAGCATAGCGGAAGGGGAACTCGGCCTACTGGCGACGAGGAGGCTAGAGAAATTTGAGGTGTGTAGCATCTACACTGGGGAGATCTTCCGGACAGGAACGGCGCAGCCACCAGAGACAGTACCAGCCGAACTGTCACGACACACGGCAGCAGGGGGGACGCAGCTGGATGGAAGTGACGACGAGAGCGAGGACGACTTTGACAGCGTCGCGGCGCGCTGTAACTTCGATTGGCCTGCAGCATCGAATGAGCCGAAACGAGGCACGAGGGCGACGCACTTCGTACGCTACGAGGAGATACAATTAGGCAAGGCAGCTGCGCAGGTGATGGTCCTGTTTGCAGAGAGGGGAGTCAAGGAAGGCCAAGAAATCACATGGTCATATGGGGACTCATACAGGAGCCACCGCAAGGAGATGGGATACAGGGCGGGGACCAGGGCGGATCCGAACGCAATAACACCCCAGCAAGCGCGGACGGCATTCGCGAGATACTGCAAAAAGATAGACGTGACGAAGGAGGAGCTAGCGTGGAACTTTGGATGCATATCGGCAAGCCAAAATAACGAGCAGGAGGCTGTCCTGGTGCGTGAGCTAATCCTGAGCAACAATAAGCGACTGTACCACGGAGCACAGAGCGCAGCAGACAGGACGGCGGCGACGGCGGACATGGCAGAGACGAGTGTGAAACAAAGGGCGGCGGGCATGGAGGGCGGTAGCGACGGGGATGGTGACGGTGACGGTGGCGAGGGAGAGGAAGGGGGTCCATTAACACCAGACAGCGAGAGGGGCAGGGAGGAAAGGGGGAGAGAGGAAGCCAACGCGACGTGCGCAGAGGATGAGGATATAAACTGGAACGACGCAGCGGAGGGGATAGACGAGGGGATCGAGGGACCGGAGGGCTTTCGCGACAGCGACGATAACGACGAAGAAAGGGGAGGGGACGGAGGGGCGACACGCAGGAGGGGCGAAATCGCTAACGGCCCGAGCAGAGAGGGCGACGGCGGGGCACGAGGGAACAACGGAGACGCTACCGATGACGCGAACCGAGGCACGGACGACGGCGGGGACGGGGAGGGCGACAGCGACGTCGAGGTTGACGCAACGGTATCGAGAGCGCCACCCAAAAGGAGCCGGACAGCCATGGAGGTCACCGAATGGAGGGCGAACGGCACGATACGAAAAGGCAGGGCGAGGCGGATGGAGAAAGAAGTGCCGAGAAGGCCATGGTGGAGGGGAGGGACGGGAGGACGAAAGAAGGGCGAGGAGGACGAGCGGCCCGCACAGACCGCGAGCAGACAGCGCCTGCTGGCCATTTCGAGACATTCGCCAAGAACGCTAGCTACATGGGAGGGCTTCGTGAAGGATGGATTGAAAAACATTCGAACAAAGAAGAGGCGACGGGAGGAGCCGGCGGAGGATGCAGTGACGTGAGACACACACACACACACACACACACACACACACACACACACACACACACACACACACACACACACACACACACACACACACACACACACACACACACACACACACACACACACACACACACACACACACACACACACACCGCTCACCCACGCGCACTGGGCCTTGCACTTTGAATGCCGTGGGGCTCCTGTCGTCAGACGTGGAGACGCGAGGGTTGCCCCCCCTTGCCCCACCACCTCGTGTGTGTGGAGAAGTTTACCTTACCTTACCTTACCTAGCGTCTTGGCGGCACTTTCCTCGAGGCAGCCGCCAATCGACCGCGTGACGCGCTCCATGTGCGCGGGAGCGCCGGCGCGGTCGACGCGCCAGCGCGCGTGCTCGACGCTCCCGGACCCCATGAAGCCGTCGCCGCGCGAGCGGGCGAGAAACCACGACTCGAGGCCGCACATGTAGGTCGCGTCGACCAGCACGGTCCCATAGCTCCACTCGTTGCGCGAGAGGTGCTCGTACTCGCACGGTCGACTCGGCCGGGTTGACGCTGATGCGAAGCTCGTACTCGCTCGTCATGAGCGCCTTGCCGCGCGCCGTGACGCTCTCGGCACGCTCGCCGTGCGTCAGCTGAGCCTCCAGATCGAGACCGAGCTCCAGCGCCTTGCGCAGCAGCCAGGCGCGCGTGCCGTGGCACACGTCCATCCCTGGGCCCGCTGCGGCGATTGCGCCGTCGACCGCCGCCCTCCTGAGGAGCTGCTCCTGCTGGACGGTGGTGGCCACCGAGCCGGCGGGCATGACTTGGCCCGTCCGGAAGAGCGCCAGCAGCGAAAGCTCTTCGAGGCGGCGTGGAGCATATCTGCCGTTCGGGTCGCTCGCCTGGGCCCGCTCCGGCGGCCCGGGGCGGGGGACGTCGCCTTTGTCGAAATCTACGTCGTCGCTATCGTCGCCGCCGCCGCCGCCGCCGCCGTACTTGTCATCGTCGTCATCGTAGTCGTAGTCCACTGGCAGCTGCAGCGTCTGGATCTCCTCGCGACTGCGCGGGGCGGCCGCCGCGGCGCGCAGCAACGACACCCGCGTGCAGAGCGCATCGTGCGAGCGCTTGTACTCGCGGCTCGAGGGCTCCAGCCGCATGGCCAGCACGTAGACGGCAGCGGCGTCGAGGATGCGGCCCATCGCGACCAGCGCCTCTGCCCTCCGTGCGTGGCCCTTGGCCCGGGCCGACACTCGCTCGCCGCTTCGGCGTGCGCTAGCGCACGCGCGCCACCGCCCAGCTTGAGGTGCGACAGAGAGGCGTTGGCGTGCAGCGCTCCCAGTGCCTCGCGGCTCTCCGGCTCCTGCTCCTCGCTCTCGGCCAGCTCAATGGCTTGCACGTACTCGGCGAGCGCCTCACCCCAAGCGCCAGCCCTCGCGAGCTCGTTGCCGCGCTGCTTGGCGGCGAGCATTGCCGCGAGTGCCGACCGCTGCGGTGGGCGAGAAAAGATGTAAGAACACCGCGGATGGGTCACGCGAGCTGGCGAGTACAGCCCACGCCTCGCTTTTCGCTGCACATGTGAACGCCAGGTAACCTTTTGCTATGAACTAGAGTGAGGCCCTTGACGGGCCCCGCCCCCAATGGGGCGGGGTTGAATGGGCTAGCGCTGGCGTGGCGTTGACATGAGCACAAAGTTGCTAATGTGCGTAGACGAACAAACACAGACAGAGTAGGGTTGAAATCGTCCACGTAAGGCTTAGGGAGTGCTTGGGGTGGCCTCAGGCATCCCCAAGGGAGTCGCAGCGGTGCCCCATAAGCAGCTTAGCGATTGTCGAACCTCGAAGCGCGTTCGTTTGAAGAAAGGCACACGGTACTATCGGGCCACCGGAGAGTCACCGGTAAACTTCGACACTTTGAGGGGTGAGAGCATGCATTATTGTGGCATATCATGTCACATAAGGTCGAGCTTGACCGCACAAGCATCAAGAAGCGGATACTCCAGCTCGACTGTGCCGGCAAACTGCCTCCTCACGCCGGCCGGCTGCCAGCAGCCGTCGCGGCCCGTGGCGTGCTCCAGAGAGGGAGAGAGGTCGAGTCCGCATGGCTCAGGCCGGCCAGAAGGTGTGTGGCGACGGCACCGTGGCAGGAGTGCGGAGAAGAGCTCGCCGAACGCGAGCAGCGGAAGGCCGAAGTGTGCCAGCGCGAGAGCCTCGCGAACGGGTGCAGAAGGAGCTCGCCGTGACACGATGCCGGGCGGTGGTGGTGCTCTGGCGGCTGTGCACAGTGGGAAAGGTCAGGCTGCAACAGCGTAGCACGATGGTAGTGCCCCGCTGCAGCCTGGCCTGACATGCACAGGGCGAACAGAGACCTTGCTATCGCCTGGCGCTCGTCTGGGCAAACTTTGACCGCCGCCCGGCTCGCCACGAGCACGCAGCGACAAAATGATGACCGTGTCGAAGTTGAGGCTGGTCGAGAGGAAGAGGCTGCCGTGCGAGCCGGCAACTGGCTGGCTCGGCGTGAACGGCCGGCGGCGACTTTTTGCCGAAGAGCGTGCCTGCCGAAGAGCGAGTCTGACTCAAAGTGCACGGAGTGGGTGCCGCCGACCGTCGGGAAGAGTCCGATGGGTGCCAGGAGGATCCAGAGAGCGATGAAGGCGCAAATTGCGCCGCCGAAAGCGGCGGCAGAGGCCAGGACGTGCGCGTGGGCCGGTCGGGCCACGTCCCGGGGCGAGCGATCGAGGGCCGCGGGGCTCGCCCCGCCGGCCGAGCGGTGCGAACGGCCGGTCGCCCGCTTCGGGTTGGACCCGCCGGGCGGTTCGGCGGCGGATGGCACGGCCGGGCGGGCCCCGGGAGGCAGGCGGGGCCGCGACAGGCGGCAGGGCAGAAAATCCCATTCGGAGAGCGTGTGGTCCGACCCCTCTGCTACTTTCAATGATAGGGATAGCAGGCGTGGTCTGTTTTCGCAAGTAACGGCCTCACAAAAAACGAAAAAAGAAACATCGCAACGGCGGGAGCAACCGGCCCCTCTCTCAACTGGCGGCTTCTGTGTACGCCGCGCTGCCGGCCCCTGCCGGCCCCGCCGCACTCATCATGTGCGACCCCTTCCCCGCCGAAGAGGCGGCGACCAGCACCATCTTTCGCTGCAAGTTCCCGGGTTGCCTCCGCAGCTACGGGAGCACTGACGCCGCGCGAAAGCACGCGCGGAAGACGCACCCGGACTGGCTCAAGCTGGCGGACGCCGCGGCGGCGAAGCGGGTTCGGGGTGGCCCGTCGACAAAGTCGTCCTTCTACTGCGCCCGAGAGGAGGCGCCCCTCCTCTCCCCCTCCTCCGCCGTGCCAAACGGCGGCCTGCTGCGGCTTGACTCGGCTCTCGAGCGGCTTGGCGGTGAGGGGGCTTGCGGCGGAGAGGGAGAAGCGGCGTGGGGGGCGATCAGCGGCGGCGCGGACGCCGCATCGGCCGCAGACCCGCCCGCAGGCTCGCTCGCCGCAACCGCCGCGTTTGGCGACGCCGCTGCGCCCCCCTCCTCCGCCCCCGGGCTGCCCTCTAGCCTGCCCTCCCTCTTCAGCTTGGGCGACGGGGTGGGCTGGGGGGCGGGGGCGCCTGCGTGGGCGTGGCCCGAGCCGCTCCCGCCGCTCCTCGGCGGCGTCGGGAGCGACTCTCCGGGCGGCTGGGATGCCCTGCCCGCAGACCGAGTGGCAGACTCGTTGTCCTTGCCAGTCTCCCCCGCCCCCGCCGACTCCTCCGCCATCACCGACGCCGCCTCCGCCGCCCTCGCCGCCTCCGCCGCCTCCGCCACCGCGTCGCTCCTTGGCGCGCTGCAGGGCAGCCTGCTGCTGGACGGCACGCGGCAGCCGCCTCCTCTCCTCTGGTCGCTGCTCGCGGCAGGAGCGGCGAGGACCTTTGCGTCGGAACAGGCGCCCCCCTCCCCTCTCTCTTCCTCTCTCCCTCACTCTGCGCCGTCGTGCTCACCAACTCTTGCCCCCCCCCCCCCCCCCTCCCCCCCCTTCCACCGAGCAGGCAGGCCACGCCCTCGCCTCCGAGGTGCCCGCCGCCCATGCCGCCGCAAACCTCTCCCAGACGCGTCCATGAGAGGTCCCCGACCAGTCCCCAACACGTCCAACGCCCCGCCCCTGACACGCTCAGGCGCTCAAGGCTCACGCCGCCGCAGACCTGGCGCGTCTGGCGGAGCTCAAGCTGCTGGTGAAGACCTCAACGCCTCCTCCCCTCGCTTCCCCCGCCCCCACCTCCGCCGCCGCCGCCGCCGCCCCTTCCGCCGCCACCCCTTCCGCCGCCGCCGCCTCCGCCGCACCTCCCTCCACCACCCACTCCGCCGCCACCGCCCCCGCCGCTTCCGCCGCCGCCACGCCCTCTACCGCCATCGCTGCCCCCCGCGACGCAACACCAGTCGACGCCCCCTCCGCCGCCACCTCCTCCACCGCCACCTCCGCCGCCGCCACTTCCTCCTCCGCCGCCACCTCCGCCGCCGCCGGCGCCTTGGGCACGCCCCGGCGGCCGGCGACACCCTTCGACACTCCTCCGACGGTGCCGTCGGCGAGCGTGCGGCCACCGTCGCCCTTCTCGCTGTCGGAGAAGAAGCGGCCGCCCGCCTTCTCGCCGCAGTCGCCGCTCAAGGCCTCGCCCTTCAAGCGCCCCAAGCTTGGCGCCGCGGGCGACGGCTTCGCTTTCCCCCCCGCCCCCGCGCTGGGCGGGTGCGACGGCGGCGTCGCCTTCGCGTTGCACGCGTCGTACGACTCCCTCCCGCCTCTGGGCGAGGCGGGCGGCGAGGCGGCGCCGGGGCGCGGGCTGTCGCCCAACCCTCGCCCGCACGAGTCGCTCGCGGCGCTGCTGGCCGAGTCGTACGGAGGAGGGCTGGGCGGCGAGACGCCGGGCGGCGGGAGGCTGGGCGGCGGGGGGGCATGCGGCGGCTTGCTGCAGCTCCGCGAGTGCGGCGCAATCTCGGGCGTCGAGATCGGCACGTTGCGCGTCGAGATCGGCACCACCTCGCGGCCGTCGAGCCCCTTTGACGTGCTCGGCGCCCTCCTCTCCGTCTAGCGGGCAGCTGCTGGTCTCGCCTCCCTCGAGCGGCGGCGGCGCGTGCGCGTGTACAGCATTCGGAGCGCCCGCTGGAGCTCTCCTGGAGCGCCGTGCCGGCCCTACCCCACCTGTCGCCATGCAGCCCTTGCGCGGCCGCCGCCCTGTACAGCTCACGCTCCCGCGTGGCCCCGTCTTTTGTGCGCTTCTCGCCGAGTGTCTCCACGTGTTCCTCCCCACGTCGCCTCCCCACGTGGAATGTATTCAGTCTTTCTTGTCGCAACTCGCATGCACTGTATATTGCTGTGACCCACTGTGCACTGACTAGTGTCCTCTGCCGTGTAATCTCTCTGTTTTCGACGTGTTGTCTTGTTGCATGTCAGTTAGGTTTCGAGCGCTCACAGCTCCTCTGTGTGTGCATTGTAATCGTTCAGGTCAAATCTCAACCATGAGTCCTGCAGGCTGCATGCACTCTAAAGCCGTAGATCACGTGTATGTGCACGTGTGACGTGTGCGCCACGGTCGCCCACCTGCCACCACCCGCGACCCGGGCCCACGCCAAACCGTTAGCGGTTAGGCAAACACCCAGGGTTCGTGAGTGAATTTTCACACTTTCACTTTCACATGTGCATGTGAATTCATGTGAATTTCACATGAAACGTTTCGGCCGCCCCCGTTTCACTGAAAATTTCGCAAGTTCGACTACTTTCGAAGGCTCTGGCATCTCCGAGGCGGCAGCGGCGGAGGCGGCAGCAGTCGAGGCGGCAGCGGCGGAGGCGGCACAGCGGAGAGAGCGGCGGTGCGCCTACCACTGCCGGCACCGGTAGGGATCTCTGTGCCACCAATGCCGCGCGTTCCTGCTTCCCTGCAGCGAGGCCGTGGTCAAGGCCGTGGTCGTCCCCAAGGCTCAAAGAACAGGGGCCCGCCCTCACTGCATCAAAACGCGGTGAAAGCGAGGAAGTGTAGAAAGGAAAGAGCCCACAATAACTCTAGCGAGAGGAGGTGCAGCTTGGTTCGTGTCCTCGGGCGCTCGAGGACGTGTGTGTTGCCTCAATGTTCTTTTAATGCGCGCACCCGCCGAAATACACTGCAAATACACCATACACGCGAGATGCGTCGGCAGCGACGCGCACGACCTCTTAAGAAGCACCGTGTCGTTAGGGTTAGGGTCAGGGTTAGGGTTAGGGTTAGGGTTATAGGGTCAGAGAGCGTTCAAGCCCGTTGTGCAGCTCCTAAGAGAATGGTCCGGTTTGGGCCGAAACCAAATGGAGGAATCAGCGGTCCGTCGACACGAGCTCTCGGTGAATGCTTTGAGTTCTTCGGGCTAGGGTTAGGGTTAGGGTTAGGGTTAGGATTAGGGTAAGGGGTTGGTTGTCGTCCGGAGCAGGCGGCCAGGCGCACATCGCTTCCAGGGAGGGGGGCGCGCTTCTCTCCACGCCCCACCCCCCCCCTAGCATGTGGTGAAGCCTCTGGGGGGGTCGGGACCCCCCCCCTAGCATGTGGTGAAGCCTCTGGGGGGGTCGGACCCCCCCCCCTAGCATGTGGTGGGCACCCCCCAGCAGTTCGTGGGCTAGGAATAGCCGCCAGAGAGCCGATTTTGCCCCAAAGTTGTGAAATCGTGGCTGAAAGTCCAATATCTTGGAGAATCTGACCAGTAAGGCTCATGTAGCTCCAAAGGATGATCTTCCCCTCGAAAATGCTGCGAAATGAGGTGTAAAATCAAGGGCCCGGAGGGCCTGACCACGAGTCTCTGGGGGGTCCTCGTCCATGACCCCCCCCCCCCAGCATGTGGTGGAGGCGCTGGGGGGGTCGGGACCCCCCCCCTAGCATGTGGTGAAGGTGCTGGGGGGGTCGGACCCCCCCCCCCTAGCATGTGGTGTGGAGAGAAGCGCGCCCCCCTCCCTGGAAGCGATGTGCGCCTGCTCTCGCGCGCTCTCGATATCTGGCTAAGACAGAGACACAGCAGCAGAGGCGACCCAAGCGACACATCAGAGCATGGATGCTTGGGGGCGCGAGCCGCCATCTTGGACTGTAAGGCGAGTATTTGCAACCGGGAGCTCGCCGCCGCCCCTACACCGCCGCCGCCGCCCTCCCGAGGCCAGATAATAGCCCAAGTCGAAGAGGGCGCGCCGCCCTCGGTATCTCGGCGGAAGGCGGGACTAGAGTGGCACGCTGGTGCACGGATGGGGGCGCGAGCCGCCATCTTGGACTGTGAGGCGAGTATTTGCAACCGGGAGCTCGCCGCCGCCCCTACACCGCCGCGGCCGCCCTCCCGATGCGTCGAGAGTCGACTCTCGACTGCTGAGAGAGTTCATCCCACCATCAGCACCGTATTCGCCCACAGCATGCCATGAGATTCATATAGGTCTAGTGTACACACATCAGCTCAGCGAGACCAATATCTCCAGCCTCCTTCATCTTGGCTGCTGCTTGGGAGCCAACACCTGTGCAAGTCGTGAGTGTCAGAGTGTCGGAACTCGGTGGGAGCATCCGTCATCACGTTCACACGACTCTTCACACTCGCTCGAAAAAGTGAAATTTCGTTTCACATGAAATGTGAAGTGAAAGTGAAAGTGAAACCGATTCGCTGTTTCCATGTGAAATCACGAACCCTGCAAACACCACGCACTGGCCAGCTCACCGATGGGGAATGAATCGATGGGGAGACATGCACATCGATATGGATGTCATGGTGGCATACGGCTTACGGCAAAACCCGCCCCCGCACACCACGCACTCTTCACACTTCAGCCGCTCCCCACGTGGGTCGTGGCGCGTGAGGAAGTGTCAGTGAGGGGACGGAGGTGGCAGGTGCGCCCGGCTCTCGGTGGCACACAGCAGCGCAAGCAGTGCCGAGCGCGGTCTCCTCTGACTGCGCGCGTGTGTTCTAGTATCTACTGAGACAAAAAACTAAATAGAGGTCGAGTAACACCGAGCCGAGTGCGAGTACTGTCTACTGATGTAAACATGTATGCAAAGCAGCGAACACACGGACATTAACACACGACGCACGCCGTTCACATGGCGCCATGCACACGTACGCCGCTCTTCCACTAATGAGTACACGGCACAAACACGCGAGAGGGTCGGATATGCATGGCTAGAGGCATGGGCCGTAAAATCTACAGAGGGCGACGGCACGTGCCGTCAGAATTCCGTCAGTCGGAGGCGCCGCCCTCCTCCAGCAGCCGCGCCTGCTGGACCATCTTTTGCACGGCCATGCAGTGGTGGGCCACGAGCTCGTGCGGGTACTTGACCAGCTTGTCGCAGTTGCCGTGCACCCTGGCGTGATCCTTGCCGCGCCGACAGTGCTCGCACTTTCGCGCGCGCTTGCAGAGGAAGGCGTCGCGCCCGTCGGCCGTCTGGGGGGCGAGAGGGCGGCTGTCACATCGCTTGCTAAGGCAGAAGGGCACCCCTCCCTCACACGCGCGCCTGGTATGCGGCCGCCACCACTGGCATGTTGATCCACATCAGCGTGGGCTTCTTGATCGGGCGGCCCTCGAAGAAAGCGCCTGCGGGAGGCAGCACTGGCGGTGGGAGCTGCGAGCGAGCAACGGAGGGAGGAGCTCGCTCCGCCGCGCCGAAGGAGCACATGTGGAGCTCGACGAGGATGGCGCCGTGCCCACCACCTTTCACCGGGTCCTCGAGGCGGAGGAAGTCCTTGTGCCTATGGGAGGCGCAGCGGA